ATCAACGCTGGGGAAAATACACAGACAGTGATACTGGATGGAGGAGGGCAACATGACTGTAAAACGTGTCTTTTAAAAACCGCTCCTGTCGTAATGTTTAGATATTTACACAGATCTGTCTTGGGAGCTCTATACACATTACAGTAGAACACATTCAGTACTCTTCTTAAATGTCATGAAATGTGGTGGCACGCTGCAAAAAATGATAAAATATGAGGTAATAATTGCTTGAATTGAGTGTTTTTGTGACATTCTGACTGTGTTAAAACAAGATTTGCCAACAGAACAAAGCCATTTCGTCTTAATTCAAGAAATTTTGCTTTATTTTTTCATTCCAAGGGAGACATTTGTTGTATCTTTTAAAAACCAGAATATTTTACTTGTCCTATTGGTAAATCTTGTTTGAAGGCAGTCTATATGTGCTCAAATTACATACATTTTCCCAAATTTGAGCAATTATTGACTGATTTGTCATCACTTTTTGCAGTGCAGTAACAGGCAAAAGCACTCCATTTGACACAGACTATTAGACCCACATTCACAAACTTCATTCATTAATTTAGAACAGACGGTAAATCTCACAATCATCGACCATCATACGCTTTAGAGTGGCACAATTCTGGACATAAATGAGAGACATGTACGATGAGAGAGAGAGATAGAAACCAAAAGCCAGTACGACTCTGCTTTTAAGACACACACCTCCAAACAGCAATGGAGAATATTTGACATATTTTTAGTACATCGTCACTTACTTTAAAACAGCTTCATAAAAAGTGCATTATCAACAAATCAAGAGTAGTGTTGTCCGTAACAGCGGCTCACGTGAAGTTCAGGTGAAGGTTAGATCGGTATATATAAAACGCAAGTCGATTCAATGAAAGCAGCAAAACGGGACAGTAGTGCATGACGCAGAGATGGTACATGTGTGCAAAGTTAAGACCGAGATGATGGACGTTACATGTGACAAAAGGCAACAATAGCATAGACAAAACAAGTGCGTAATACCCGAGCAGAATCAATGCTTTTGTAATCTTTATGTAGTATTCTGTGTCTGGCTAAAAAGCTCTCGTCTCAGTCCTGTAATGGTATGATGTCATTGGACCACTATGACATCACACTCGGAGCCCATTTATTCATTTTGGCAATTTCTCAAGTGAAATAAGTTCTTTACAATCACGTGTCGGGGGTTTGCAGCTAGAAACAAAATCAAAATCAACTCCTCCCTCTGGTGGTGGCACAGGGAGTTACAGGCAGAAAGCATTTTTTTTGTTTACTTTTCGTACTTGTATTGCCATTCATTTTCTACTTAGGATATATTTCACATTTTGAAACAGGAAATGACTAAATTAAGAGTTTAATTATTGTTTTTGAAACCAGCAATTCGGTCTTAATAATTTTATAATCATGGCATCAGAAAGTACCTGAATAACCATGTTTACAGTATGCTGATTTTGGACACTGTTGAAAATGGTTTGAATTGTCCTAAACGTTTACCCTGTTAGGTAATTGCTTCACCCCAACCTCTAACCATGAGCGCGAAAATAAATCATTTATGTTCTCTGAGAAATTGCCAAGAAATCTGGCTTTTGTTGCTCTGCCCCAGGGCAACTGTGGCTACAACAGTGCCCTACCACCACTGCGTGTGGAGTGAATGGGGCTCTGTGAGTATGAACCAACTCAGACTCTGAGGAGCACAGGGACTGGCCTCCTGCTGGTGCCCAAAGTAAGGACTAAACAGTGTTTCAGATTTATGCAGCTAAAAGAAGAAACAGTCTTCCTGAAAATGTGAGACAGGCTTCTACTCTGATCCAGGTTAAAAACAGTTCTGTTTAGCTGTGCATACAACAGAAGGATCGTTATGCAACTCTCTTGGCTGTACTGTGATTATGATTTTCTTTTCTTGTTTTGTAAAACACTTTGAGTTGCCTTGTGTGTGTGAACTGTGCTATACATATAAACTCGCCTTGCCTATATAAACAAAGATTACTTACATCTTCTGCCAGGGTATGCAAACTTATGTGCACAACGGTACGTAACCCTGGAAAATATAAGGCAAAACTAATATTTTTACTTTTCTGTTTTATAGTACAGGCCTTTGTAGTAGGTCAAACATTTTCAGAGAAAATTTTACAAAATCCTGTAAGGATAAGCAACATATTAGTTATTCTTTAAAATAATCAGTGATGGATGATCTTAAAGCTGGGGTACCTATTTTTTTGTTTCATACGTAATGCATTTTGTTTTCAACCGCCACACAATTCCCATTAACTTAAATAAATATTTAATTGTTGTGAGAAAAAGCCAAGGGAGTATCTAGTCACTTTTACGCCTTTTTTAAAGCAGTGGAAAAACATGCTAGCTGCTAAACACGTTTGTAAATATTATCTGCTAACATGCTAGCTGCTAACAATGGAATATAAATATTAGCTGCTGACATGCTAGCTCCTAACAGTAGCTGCTAACATGCTAGCCGCTAAACATGGAAAGTAAATATTAGCTGCTAACATGCTAGCTCCTAACAGTAGCTGCTAACATGCTAGCCGCTAAACATGGAAAGTAAATATTAGCTGCTAACATGCTAGCTCCTAACAGTAGCTGCTAACATGCTAGCCGCTAAACATGGAAAGTAAATATTAGCTGCTAACATGCTAGCTCCTAACAGTAGCTGCTAACATGCTAGCCGCTAAACATGGAAAGTAAATATTAGCTGCTAACATGCTAGCTCCTAACAGTAGCTGCTAACATGCTAGCCGCTAAACATGGAAAGTAAATATTAGCTGCTAACATGCTAGCTCCTAACAGTAGCTGCTAACATGCTAGCCGCTAAACATGGAAAGTAAATATTAGCTGCTGACATGCTAGCTCCTAACAGTAGCTGCTAACATGCTAGCCGCTAAACATGGAAAGTAAATATTAGCTGCTAACATGCTAGCTCCTAACAGTAGCTGCTAACATGCTAGCCGCTAAACATGGAAAGTAAATATTAGCTGCTAACATGCTAGCTCCTAACTTACAAGCAGCTATCCTGCTAGCTGCTAACCATGGGGTCTAAGCTGCTAGAATGCTAACTAGCGAAGCACCAAACTGATGTGTTTAAAACCAGGAACCCCAGCTTTTGTTTTGCACACAGCGAAACATAGGTGCAATGTAGCGTCTGTACAGAAAACACAGGTGCTAGAGAGATTTAACAACATTTTCAAGTCAAGTACAAATTGTTGAAACAAAGAGTGCAGTAAGTCACCGGTGTGAAATCGACATATTCAAAGTGGTGTAAACGGACACACTGTACCTAAGCTCAAAGACAAGGCATGCATTAGATACTCAGGATCCTTCTATAGATCTATATGTCCATCACTGTCCACTACTGTACAGGCCACATCCGGAACCAAACGTACAACGACCTGAGCTGCAGCCTTGTAGATTATTCAAGAACCCACCAAAAAAACCTATTCCTTCAAAGTGTTATCACAGGGAAGTATAATCGGACGTCTTTTGGGTGAAACTCAGAACATTAGAATATGGTTCAGAAGTTCATTTCTTTCTATAAATCAATTTAAATATAACATAAATGTATAACATGCAAAGTGACATACACCAAGACTTTGTTATCGTTTTTCTTTCAATCCAGATTCAAAATATTCAACTTTTCTGAGATGTTTTATTGGGGTTTTGCAAAGCTGTGAGCCAATTACTAACATTATAACAAATTATACCACAGTCAGTGAAGATTCAAATGCAAATTATTGTTGATTAATGCCGTTTAAACCTAAATGACAGGATCCATATCACTCTGAGTTTGAATGATAAAGTTACTATTAAAGGTCTATTATACAGCAGGATGTTGAATTAAGCTGCTAAATATTCATTCAAATTTGTAAAATCAATGTAAGAATAAGACACATAAGGTGCGAAAGTGTGTGTGTTTCGACCACGGTACACACTCCATCCTCTCATTCTCTAAATGCCATGTACACAACCATATCCTGCCTCACTTATTTAAAACTGGAACCAGTGTATGCACATCACCTTCTCTTCATAACTTTATGACTTTTACGGTTTCTATATGTTGTTTATTATCTTCTATTCAAATTGATTATTTTTTTAATGTGACTCAAACTCTAATGTTTCCTAATTCTATGGCATAATCCCCTTTCTACACGGTGCTGGTCACGGCCTGGGTCTGGACTGGGTCTGGACTGGGTCTGGACTGGGTCTGGACTGGGTCTGGTTCAGGGTTTTCCACCAGAGAAAATAAATTACCAAGTCTTGCTGTATTTAAAGTTATGTCAACCAGATTTAGCACTCATTAAATGTGAGTATAAAAAACATACTTTTTGGATATGAATGTCTCAGTTTGCCATTGGTTTGAACGGAGCAGTCAAGACGGCGGCTCTGGGGGTTCTAGTAGTTTCAGTAGTTTAATTCTGGGAGTCAAAGTGTTAAGGTGAACAATGTTGTCTATGGCCGTTTAGAGATTCCCTTGTGCGGCCCATATATCATTTAGGAGTGTCTGGATGACTCCGAGCTTTCTCTGCATCTCTCTTTGCGTGTAATGGATCTGTCGTGTATCAATCTAACATTTTAATTACAGAAAGAAACAGACTTTTGAACGACGTCATAATGTTCTGAGTTCCACCTGTCGATCCCCCATGATGCAGCGACGCATTACTAAACATTCATCAAGCTCCTCAATTCATTTTGCATCTTAAATAAACACGTAAACAGGAGTATTCCCTGATTATACAAAAATACAAAAAGAAAAACAGCAACATACTTTACAAAACGGAGGGCACTGCTAATGGGGAGACATTTTTTTTTCAATTGGTCAAGTGTTTGGCAAAGTAGGCTACATTACTTGGAAAGCAAATTGGCATATTGCTAGTTCAAAAACTTCTGTGGATCTTGTTGTGTCGAAGAGGACGGATAAAGACGTGCAAACTCAGGAAAAGCAGGAGGAGGTTGTATTAGGAGCGCGCGGAGCAGAGGGGGTGGGGGTATTAACAAGAACAGCCGCCTTCGGTCGTCTGTGGCTCCTGCGGTTTGTCCAGTTTGATGTCGATCACTGAAGGAAATAATGTGAAGGAAAATTCTCCAGTGTTGAAAAGACAGGTCATGTGTGTGCAAAGCGGTCCACTAGGGGGCAATGTTTCACCAGTTTGCAGGACAAAGGAGCAGAAAGAGCCTATTCATTCCAGATGCATCATCATTCTAAACTCAGACATAAATATGTAAACTCAGATATTTATCATTTGGAATCCTCTTCTTATAAAATACCCACAATTCTACTTTCAAGTGATTTGTAAAAAACTTGGATTTTTTAGTTTTTCATCCTGCGTCTATGTGTTTGTGTGTTTTGATTGTTGACATTAGGGCTATAATACATTGGCTTGGATACGGATAGGTTGCTGAATATGGTTATTGAATATGTTTATGAATTTTTAAAACATTTTTTTGTTATTCCTTGTGGATGCAGGAGGGTCTAAGGACATTAATAAAAAAATTTTGACATTGGTCATCCTGCTCCCTATGGACCTATGTGTTTGCTATTATTGCATTTCCTGTGTTTGAACTGTTTGATTCTCTGATCAGAATTTGCGAGACGACTGCTCTTGTGATTTAGAGCTATACAAAACAAATTGAATTGAATTGAAACCTCTTCTCAGCATGTGTAAGTCTATGTACTGTAAGGTTTAAGAAATGAAAAGCAATTGGTAAAAAACTGAACAATGCACAATTATATAGAAAGATGACATTATTATTGTCACTGCCTTTGCTGGCTGGTCGGAGTCTCTCTAAGACGCTAGAAAGGGTTTTCATTACATATCTATTAATGAGATGAATAGGGAAGTATACACATCTATTCTGTCCACTGTCTTGTTTACATCCGACAGAAAACATTGAAGCACCAAATCAAACCTGTTTTTGTACGACAAAAGAAGGCAATTAGAATTCTTTGCGTCTCCTCTTCTCCACCTCGCTAGTTAAAAAGTTGTCAATATTGTAGAGTACAGCTATTGTAATGTATTCATAGGTTTCAGCGTCCTGCTTCACGCAAAACAATTCAAAGAGCATTTCCCCGTTCGAGAGACAGGAAACATCGATTTGAATTTCAAACACAGGAAATGCAACGGCCAGTTTGCAAAATATACCATTGTTTTCTTGTTAATGACAGAGTTCTGGAATTATACCTGCTTTTATTTTAAATTGTTTAATTTTGGAAATGCATTGGCAAGTCCTATGTTGTAGAACAGTGAGTGTTTGCGTTGCTTTGGATTCTTTGGAATCTTTTAGTTCTATTTTTTTTTTATGTTACAAGTAAATCCTACAGAAGCCTGAAACCCTTCGGAGTCTGGTTTGGAATTTTGTGTTTTTACAAGAATTCTCTGAACATTGTAAAGTGCTTTGGGTGACCTTGGTCGTAAAAATGCGCTATATAAATAAAGTACATACATATATACATTTTATGCAAATAGAAGCAACAACTACTACTGCTGCTATTACAACACTCAAAGTACTACTGCTGCTACTACTATTGCTATTACTACTAATACGACTACCACTGCTACTACAATACTAATACTGCTACTACTACAATACTAATACTGCTATTCCTACTACAACACTAATATTACTACTACTACTGCTCCTACCACACTAATATTACTACAAATACAACTATAATGACATTGTAGTATCCACTTCTGTCTTCTGTAGCACTATCTGAGTGATTCTATCTACGCCAAATGTTACATGTAAATATCTCCATTGTGAGATCAATAAAGTTTATCTCATCTTGTCTTATTCCAAAAACGATTGGGAGTAAAGTATTTTTCTCCAGTTTTAATACATCATTACTTTCCCTTGTGTGTAAAATGTAAATGACACATTAATCGACAGTGAGAGACCAATTCTTTTCACAGGTGATATTAGAAGTGGTGTCTACTCCTGGACCCAGGACTTGATCCAGGTCCAGACTCTAAATGTGCAGCTCCAGATTACACCCTGAGGCCAAACAGAAGTGCCTCCACCACCACTGACATTGCACATAAATCATCATGACCCACATCTACCCGAGTTAACACTTCTACTTCTACTATCCATGGGGTTCAGGGCGATGAGAAATTGTAATATTTGCCACAGGAAATACCATGTTTAGGTGAGTGTTGCGGCTGGATTATTATTGCATGATGTCTAATGGTCTTTTTTTTTTTATAAAGATGTTTAAGATGCGATTTTCCCTTTAAGATTCAGTTTATTTGCCATATGCAGTACGACCACATTGGAATAGCTAAAACACTATATATTAAAAAGTGTATCCAGGTCTAAATTATAGTACAAGATGTTTTAGTAATGATAATGGATTAACTGCAAAAATATAAAACATTACAAAATCTTGAATTAAAGTGACTGTATATAATATTTTGATTTTTAATTGTGATCCCAGAAAACAGATCACATCGGACTAAATCTGACTAAAACATCGGTTTAAAGTAGTTATTTTTTAATGAAATACAAGACATGATGCCGAACATGAAGTTTTTAGGTGACATTTAGAGGAATCTTCTTCTCTTGTTTAAAAACATGTTTTTAGAAATACGTAAAAAACTAATATTTTTTAAAACTTTTTTGTCACAGCCAAAGGAGCCCTGACAAAGAGATAGAAGATGAATAAATGAATACTACATACTGTTCCTTTAAGATTTTAAGGTTAAGGTACAAGATTGGCCAAAGTCGCCTCCACCTTCTGAGGAGGCTGCGGTCCTTCGGGGTGAGCAGGCCTCTGCTCAGGACTTTTTATGACTGTGTGGAAGCCTCTGCCATACACTACGCTGCCGTGTGCTGGGCCCCGGGCAGCACAGAGCGGGACAGAAACAGACTGAACAAGCTGGTCAGGAGGGCCAGCTCCACTCTGGGCTGCTCCCTGGACTCTGTGGAGGAGGTGAGGGACAGGAGGGTGCTAGTCAAAGTCAATTCCATCATGGACAACACCTCCCACCCACTGCACAGGACTGTAGAGGAACTTATTGACACTGTTTCTTTGATTGCCACTTTTTATTGTATATAATATATCCTGCATTTAACATGTTTGCACATTTCTTTCTTTTGCACAATCTGAGTGATTCTATCCATGCCAGATGTGACATGTACATTTCTCCTGTGTGAGATCAATAAAGTCTATCTTATCTTATCTAATCTTATTTATCCCCATGGGGAAAATTTGTCCCCAAGAAGGTCCTCAAATCCAGGACCCTCTTGATGAGAAGTGAGAGGGCTAAGCACTGAGCCACCATGCCGCCAAACTTCTTAAAGAGAAATTATTCACAGTCTTAAATTAGATTTGGCAATGGAACAAGCACAAAATGTCTTGTTTAATCCTAAAATATGAGAAAACTATTATTGTACTTATTGTTTTTATGAATTGCAAAGAACTAATCTTTTTTCTATAATGCAGTTGAGGTAATTATATACTAAATGTAGCTACAAATATGAAAAATATGATCCCAGTATTTTTTAACGCTGCTTCCATGTTGTGAACTAGCATCAGTGGCGGCACAGTGGTTAGCACTAGTGATTCACAGCAAAAAGGTCCTGGGCTTGATTCAACTTCCAGGCCTTTCTGTGTGGAGTTTGCATGTTCTCCCTATGCCTGCGTAGGTTTCCTCTGTGTGCTCCAGTTCCCCTACCATTAAAAACATGTACAATAGATCTGGCATGCCCCTCCAGTACGGCGACCCCTCTCCCATCTCTGAGTGAAGGACAAAATAGCCAAAAAACGTCAAATTGTAAAGGGTTATGTGACTCTGGTCTGTGAAAGGCGTTATATGAATGAATATTACTTACTTACATAAAACTATTAAATCATTAAGGCCCATCTTATCAACCCTCCACCTCCTCCTCTCTCCAGAACAAGGTCACTGCACGAGGGGGAGAGAAAGTACCACATGTGATTGATGTAATAACCAGGAAACATCTCTGACAGTAATAAAAGTCATGAGGCGAATCTCCCAGGAGCCGTAACATTGTGAGCCTATGACCATTCATTTAACTGGGCAGACCCCACACCATCACCATGATGAAGTGGTCAAGTAACAGGTTGGCGCAGAATACAAGGTTATAATTGCCTGGTCCTCTGTCTTTCATTCATATGTATAGTTTTTTTATTTATTTTTATTTCATTACAAATAATAGTTTTGTGGGTTTTTTTTTTAATGGAGGATAACTATGATTACTTCAGCCCAGGAGGTAAAGTGATCATCAGAATGTGTTTGTTTGTTTGTTTGTGAGCAACATAACTCAAAAATATTGGGGGATTTGGACAAAAAGTAAAGGAATGGAGGTTTTTGAGTGGCTGCCTAATTTCTTTCACTATGGTTTAAATCCTTTTCAATAATAAAGTATTTCCATAAAAAACACGTTTTGCAAAAAAATGTATTCTATTCTTTCAATGCCATTAGTGTAGCCTGGCCTTAGCCATCCGTAAACTCTGGTCAAATGATTATTTCCCTACATTAACAGCTGGGTCTGACGTTGTGGCTCTACTCCCCATGGGCTCCGTTAGTGGCAAAGGAGATGGCTAAAGCTAGGCTAAATGCCCCACTCATCCGGGCATATTATATACGTCACGGTAAACTCAGATCCAATCGTTTCAATCTGCAAAAGGAGTTAACCCCTCCCACCTGTTAACGAAGCTCAATTTAGCAGATCTAGACCTAAGTACAAAATGAAAGGAGTACGATGGTATGGTAAGACCATACCATTAGTGCTCTGTTTAAAAACATTTGTGACCAAAATAGTTAAGTGTGTGATACATGTGTGAAAAGAGCAGTGAGGTAAAGGATACTGCCTTCTTTGCTTGTTTCGTGCATACTCTCCATTCCAGGAAGAGCCGCTGCCACACGTCGAAACAACTGAGAAAACATTATAGCAGAATATGAATACATATAAGAATAATTATAACTAGAAACTTGCAATGGCTGAAGCCATTGCGATTGACTGCGGAACAGATCTAATGTGGAAATCTGCTAAAAAAAATCCTTGAAATCCTTTAAAAGGCCTTGAAACTGTTAAAATACTTGATAGATATTTGAAACTCCTGAAGTCCTTGAAATTGTTGAAACCTTTAAACTCCTGAAATCCTTGAAACTGTTGAAACATTGAAACTCCTGAAATCCTTGAAACTTTTTTTAAACCTGGAAACTGTTGAAAGTGTGGAAACTCCTGAAATCCTTGAACCTCCTGATATCCTTGAAACTGGTTAAATTCTTAAACAGTTGAAATCCTTGAAACTACTGAATGTATTGAAAGTGTCCTTGAAACTGAAAAATCCCCTCACCGCTGAAACAATTTGGTTCCTGTAACTAAGGAAACCTGGTCTGTGGTCATTATCTGGTGGTGGTCTGAGTCTTCGTTTGGGTCTTGGTCTGGTGGTATAATGCAACCTATTAGGTTGCATTATACTGGTTTACATGGAAAAATCCCTATTAGGTTGCATTATACTGGTTTACATGGAAAAATCCCTATTAGGTTGCATTATACTGGTTTACATGGAAAAATCCCTATTAAGTTGCATTATACTGGTTTACATGGAAAAATCTCTATTAAGTTGCATTATACTGGTTTACATGGAAAAATCCCTATTAGGTTGCATTATACTGGTTTACATGTACAAATCCCTATTAAGTTGCTTTATACTGGTTTACATGTAAAAACCCCTATTAGGTTACATTATAGTGGTTTACATGTAAAAATCCTTATTAAGTTGCATTATACTGGTTTACATGTAAAAACCCCTATTAAGTTCCATTATACTGGTTTACATGTAAAAACCCCTATTAAGTTCCATTATACTGGTTTACATGTAAAAACCCTATTAAGTTGCATTATACTGGTTTACATGGAAAAATCCCTATTAAGTTGCATAATACTGGTTTACATGGAAAAATCCCCATTAAGTTGCATTATACTGGTTTACATGAAAAAAACCCTATTAAGTTGCATTATACTGGTTTACAAGGAAAAATCCCTATTAAGTTGCATTATACTGGTTTACATGGAAAAATCCCTATTAAGTTGCATAATACTGGTTTACATGGAAAAATCCCCATTAAGTTGCATTATACTGGTTTACATGTAAAAAACCCTATTAAGTTGCATTATACTGGTTTACATGGAAAAATCCCTATTAAGTTGCATTGTACTGGTTTACATGGAAAAAACCCTATTAAGTTGCATTATACTGGTTTACATGGAAAAAACCCTATTAAGTTGCATTATACTGGTTTACATGGAAAAAACCCTATTAAGTTGCATTATACTGGTTTACATGTAAAAACCCCTATTAAGTTGCATTATACTGGTTTACATGGAAAAATCCCCATTAAGTTGCATTATACTGGTTTACATGAAAAAAAACCCTATTAAGTTGCATTATACTGGTTTACATGAAAAAACCCTATTAAGTTGCATTATACTGGTTTACATGGAAAAATCCCTATTAAGTTGCATTATACTGGTTTACATGGAAAAATCCCTATTAGGTTGCATGATTACACTGAAGTCCTTGAAACTGCTGAAGTCCTTGAAACTGCTGAAGTCCTTGAAACTGCTGAAGTCCTTGAAACTGTTGAAGTCCTTGAAACTCTTGAAATCTTGAAACTGCTGAAATCCTTGAAACTGTTGAATTCTTGAAACTGTTGAATCATTGAAACTGTAGAAATGTCTGAAAGAGCTGAAGTCCTATTAAAATGCATGGGCCTATTAAAATGCATTGCAGAATTCTCAATGCAGATTTTTGTCCGATTGCGGAAAAACCGGAAATCGCTGAAGTCCCAAAAGTAATAGCAATAATCTCCCAAACATGTGGAACGTTTTGATGTATAACTTGTGGAAATTGTTGAAAATGTGAAAGCTGTGAAACGTGTCAAAAAAAATGACGGAATAAAGAAATACAAAACCAATGGTTGACTGCGGAAGGTTCCGCAGTCAATCAATAATGCAAACAATAACAACAGCTTTCACAAACATTATATATCCAAGAAATGACAAATCTGCTATTGCAATTTCTCTAGATTTAAGCTTTGATTTGTTTTGCTTAATTGGTGAGGACAGTGCAAACACTGCTACTACTACTATTGACATACCTTCTGGACTATAGGACACACCTGTATATAAGCCGCACCACCTACATTGGAAAATAAAATCCACATGTTGTGTCCACATATAGGCTGCACTTGATTATAAGCCGCAGGTTTTCATGTTTTAATGCAGCAGATAGACGACTGCTTGAACTGTTTACAACAGGATTTAAATATGTGAGGTGTTAAACAGTTTAACCGTAATCGCTTTCACCTATTTTAACAATAATAGTCTACTATAACTCAAAATAAAAAGTCCATGAACTCTGCTCTAACAACTCCCCAAGACTTTATGCACACATATTATGCATATATACAGTACTTATTACACTTATTATACATATATATTGTGACTTCTACAATAACCACTGTGTATGTCTCTTATGCGATATATTTAACTGAAATTTCTTACCCAAACAACCAAAGATCATAAAATATTTAGTGAAAATTAAGATAAAAAATAGAGAACTTCTGAATTCCACTGTAGATTCAGATTCAGATTCATTTATTTGCCATTTGCAGTACAACCACATAGGAAAAACTGTGCAAGACTACCCCGGTGTGCACCAGACGACACACACCAGAGCTCTTGTATTAGCCCCAATCGCTAGATTCGATGCATGGTTCAAACTAGAAAAACGTAGCGGCTTCTAGTCCAGACATTACACTAACTAAAAAGATTTGAGTTTGAAATTAAACAACAAAGAGCAAGCCGCATGTTTTGTAGCCCCAGGTTTGGATGTCGATGATCAGGATTATTACTAAAATCTAAAATTCTAACTGCAGCTGCTCCTTTCTCAGACTGCGGACAGAAAACCTCTCGTCTAATGAACTCTATGAACTCTGTCTGTTTGTGCATGTGTGAATCAAAACCGCTTTGTGGATCTGGGTTTATGTAACTATACGCAGCTTGCGACATCTAGTGGCGAGAACATACACGTGACTTAAAGTGGTTCTCACCCCCGCTCCTCGGAACTTACGTCACTCTCATTTCCTGTTCAAATCTTCCTCTAAATGGGCGTAGCCTGGAGGACTGAAGGGGGCGTGAACGAGACTGGGCCGTTTACATTGCTCTGGGCGGGGGGCTGCTGACGTCAGGTCCAACTTGCAGACGTCAGGTCCAACTTCTGTGCCAGTGTTGGCGCCAGATTCAAAATTCAAATGTAGTAATACAGGTTGCCAGCAGATGGCGCCTCACAGACGGTTTTAGGCAGAAAGTTTAACTTTCAACTAATTTGCACCAAAGTGACAAAAATATGACCAGGATATGTAGACAACACTATTGGACACTCATTTAAATTGTTTATCAGCAAAAAAAAGTGGATTTGAGGGTGAGTTGTCCTTTAAGCTGCTGGTCAATGTTTTGGTAGTAAATAACCATGAATAAGCCAATAATCATCAAAACTGTTCTGAACTTACCTGTTTGACGTTGTAGCCGGTTTTGGCGCTGGTCTCGATGAACATTACACTCAACTCTTTAGCTCTCTGCTCTCCTTCCTCAATTGTTATTTGTCTGGGAAGAATGGGAAGAAATGTACGTAATGTTAACTGAGATGTGACTGATATGTTAAAATATGTGACTGATTGGAAATACAGAATTTAGAATGAGCTAAAGTTTATTGTACAAGCCCATGTTAGTAACAGATTTTAGTAATAAATAATGATCAAAATGTTTTTGGACAAAACGTTTAAGGCCATAGACCAGGCATGTCAAACTCAGGAAAACAACCATGCTATTGTATCTTTTCTAAAATGTTATTTTGTAATCCAAACCTACTAGAAAACAATATCCAAACGTTTACACCTCTGGCCCCAACCAGCACTTATGTTTTTAAATTTGGCCCCCGTCTAAATTGAGTTTGACACCCCTGCCATAGACTGTTTATAGAAGGACAAAACAAACCCACAACATCTAGCTCAATAAAGCCCGAAACTTAAAATATTTTGGGGTAATATCTCAGAATGACATTGCTTTGAATGGGAGCAGTCAAAATGACGGCTATGGGAGTTCTAGTAGTTACCTCAACATTTCTTATAAACCCTCTCCGCCTTCATTGAGAACAGTTGTAAGATTGTTCAAGGCCATTTATCAATAACTGATTAAATTGTGTGAAGCTAAAGCGAGATTTAAAACTGCAGAGCAGAGAAGCAGCTCCAAAAACACTCTCTCAGACGCATCTTTGTCCTAAAACAGTTTTTATTCGACTAGTTGACTTGCCTCTTATCTCCCAAATCCGTTTTGTTGCCCACTAACATAATGATGACATCACTTCCTCTCTCTGTCCTGACATCATCGATCCATTTGGTCGTTTGCTGGAATGAGTTCACATCTGTGGACAACAAGAAAGAAGTCAATGAAGGAATTGTTACCAAGCATCCGTCTGTTTTCCTCCGCTTCATCCGGGGCCGAGGCATAGAGGGTGCAGCAGTACTTCCAAACATGTGGAAATTAATTGATAAAAATTGAAACTTTATCATTTAATCTGTTCAATTCCATGTATTTTTGTAAAGCCTTCAATCACAACAGCAGAGGATTATACAAAGTAGTCGATGCCTCAACAACAGATCAGAGAATCAAACTGTTCGAACAGAGGAACTGAAATAATAACAAACACATAGGAGACATTGGTCCATAGGGAGCGGAATGACCAATATTGATAAATGTAAACAAAAATGTCAATGCCTGGTTTTGGCAAAAGAGGTATATGACTTTTTGGTTTAATGCATTAATTATATATGTACAGTGGTGCAAAAAAGTACTTTGTCAGCAAAGGCTACAATCAGTGACACACTACGCCACCAGGGACTCCTGGACTATCCTGCAGTGTCAGACATGTCCCCTGCTTAAGCCAATACATTTCCAGGCCCGTCTGAAGTTTAATAAAGAGCATTTGGATGATCCAGAACAGGATTGGGAGAACGTCATATGGTCAGATGAAACCAAAATAGAACTTTTTCATCGTGTTTGGAGGAGAGTTGCATCCAAAGAACACCATACCTACTGTGAAGCATGGGGGTGGAAACATCATGCTTTGGGGCTGTTTTTTCTGCAAAGGGACCAGGACGGCTGATCCGTGTAAAGGAAAGAATAAATGGGGCCATGTATCATGAGATTTTGAATGAAAACCTCCTTCCATCAGCAAGGGCATTGAAGATGAAACGTGGCTGGGTCTTTCAGCATGACAATGATCCCAAACACACCGCCCGGGCAACAAAGGAGTGGATATGTAAGAAGCATTTCATGGTCCTGGAGTGGCCTAGCCAGTCTCCAGATCTCAACCCCATAGAAAATCTTTGGAGGGAGTTGAAAGTCTATGTTGCCCAGCGACAGCCCCTAAACATCACTGCTCTAGAGGTGATCTGCACAGAGGAATGGGCCAAAATACCAGCAAAAGTGTGTGTAAACCTTGTGAAGACTTAGAGAAAATGTTTGAATAGTATATAGTATATAAGTATATAATTATATAACAGGGGCCATCAACATAATTTGCCTTGGCCCGGATCGAGCTGCCAGATTTAGCCCGCCAGTTGATGAACAAAATATTAAGATGCTATTGACCTAATACTTAATTTCCATTATGTGATTTTCTGAATTTTTATACTCATTCTGTCTCTCATAGTTGAGATATAACAATTATATAAATTACATGCCTCCCTCATATTTTATTGATAATAATAAAAGATGTTATTTATAACGCAACTTGCGAACACATCTCAAGGTGCTAAAAAGTGAGAAACCTCTGGGAGACCCACATGGAGAGAATAATGGACTTCCAAACACTGTACATCCAGGACTCAGTCTGTAGAACGAGTACTAACGGCAGGGTGGCTGAGTGGATAGCACTCTCGCCTCTCAGCAAGAAGGTCCTGGGTTCGAATCCCGGTTGGACCAGGGCCTTTCTGAGTGGAGTTTGCATGTTCTCCCCGTGTCTGCGTAGGTTTCCTCCGGGTGCTCCGGTTTCCCCTACCACTAAAAATATGTACAATAAGTATGGCATGTGCCTCCTGTACTGGCACCCCCACCCAACAATTGTAAACCGCTTTGAGACTCCGATGTGCAGTGAAAAGGCGGTATATAAATAAAAAATAAAAAAAGCTAGCTAGCTAACTAACAAAAGTATAGCTTCAGCATACTGTAGGTCTAATATTGCCTCATACACAGAGCAGCGTGACCTTGAGCAGTTCATTAATATGCATTCACGCCGACATGTTTCTTTTTCTTGTCCTGGGAGTTTGACAGGACGATCTTGCGCCCTTTTCAAGGTGAAGCGAGAGTGGGCTTTGATTTCCATAATTGGGAGCGAGGTATATTCCACTGGGGAACCTCTATGAAGACTATTTACCAGGGATGGCATGTTTTAATATCATGTCTATTGTTTATATATACATTTATTTTTTGCTTTACTTTATTGTTATCATTACAAATTTTTATTTTATTTTCTATTTTTATTTTTAATGCGAAGATAAGCATCCACCCCCTCCTGTCTCCCCACCTTCCACTCCCCTGTATGATAAAGAAATCATAAATATTTCAGTCATAAAAAAGTGTGAGTAACACTGACTTGTGATGTCATAGACCACCACCGCCACAGTGGAGTCGCGGATGTAGCTGGGGATGAGGCTCCTGAAGCGCTCTTGTCCCGCGGTGTCCCACAGCTGCAGCCGAACCTGCGCACCACAGACACACTCTACTATTTCAGTCTCACGTTCAACTAAAAGGAGAGACTGAAATAACAAAACCGCCCAAAGCCATAAACTCAACAGTCACGTGGTATGTGGTGGGTGAAGAGAATGAGGGTTATTGAGAATGAGGTGTTCTAGGACTATATTTTGATGCCTTTTTTGTGTCTTGTTTTTCAGTTCATGAGGATCGTTTTCTTGGCGATGGCTAGAGAAGCAGGGAGAGTATTATGGTCTATCAATGTTTTCAAGTTTTCAAAATCATCTCTCCCCGTCGGGTAAAACTGTCCGGGAGTCCAGAACTGTTGCCCAGATCATACTTATAGATATATCTCCTGTGATGTCACCTCCAAGGTCAGAGCAGCGGGGGATCCTGGTGATAAAGAGCTGCATGACAGCAGCGATTATTACACACGCCTCACACATGCGGCACATACACACTCTCATGCACAGACAAGGCACATACACAGGCACGTGTATACACACATACACACAGACATGGCACACATACAAACACACACACACACAGACATGGCACACATACAAACACACACACACACACACAGACATGGCGCATACACCCACACACACACATACACACGCACACACACAGACATGGTGCGCGCGCACACACACACACAAACATGGCACACATACAAACACACACACACACAGACATTGTGCGCACGCGCACACACACACACACACACACACACACAGACATGGTGCGCGCGTGCACACACACATACACACAGACATGGCACACATACAAACACACACACACAGACATTGTGCGCACGCGCACACACACACATACACACAGACATGATGCGCGCGTGCACACACACATATACACACACACACACAGACATGGCACACATACAAACAAACACACACACACACACACACACACACACACAGACATGGCACACATACAAACAAACACACACACACACACACACACACACACACACACACAGACATGGCACGCACGCACACACACACACAAAGACAACAGACTAGGGCTGCACAATATATCGGACAAATATTGTAATTGTAATTGTAAAAAGTGTGACATATAATAATAATAATGCATTGAGTGTCCAGAAAAGCGCTATATAAAACCAAAGACGCTTTACATGTTCATTCACTCCATACACAGTGGTGATAAACTACTACTGTAGCCACAGCTGCCTTGGGGCACACTGACAGAAGCGAGGCAACCAGTATGTGCCATCGGCCTCTCCGACCACTACCAACCATTCACCACACACCAGACTCATTCTATCTACAAGATGCGCAATAATTTTGCTATCTTACGCCTTTCTTGTACGTGCACTGTGACGAATCTGCTGCGACCTAGTGCTACCACATGCTAGAGTGGAGCACGCAGAGAAACAAAACAAGCGGATGATGAAGAGACAAATGCAGACAAATGCAGAGAAGAACTTGATCTCCAGAGCCACCTCCCGCACAGCAACAAGGAACTCTATGCTGCGTATTTACAATCTAAAACTCCACAGCCTACTCCGGTCAAACGAAAGGCAATTAATGACAGTTTCACTTCTGTTGCTCCTCATGAGAAAACTTTGAAATGACACAAAGCTTTAACTGCAGCCATTACACAAAGCAAAGTTCACACTCTTCATCAATACTGTGTGTATGGAATTGGCAACAAGATTTGAGGTTAATATGTATGACAATAATCTTTCAATATATTGTGCAGCCCTAATTTCAACATTTGCAGCACTCACACACACACGCACAAGCTGGCACACACACACACAGGCTCACACAGACACACACAGACACACACAACCTACCGTCCGATCCTCCAGGTACATGGTTTTGGACAGGAAGTCGATGCCGATGGTCGCCTGGGGAAGAGGAGAGAGGGTCAAGCAAACACTTTATAGCTATATGTAAGCAAAAGGTTATTGTCATATTTCTCTAGTTCTAGTTGGTTTGGTTCATTTTTACAGACGATAGGATTGGATTTTGAGTTGCAGTGAAGTATAAAATGTGTTACACACATAAATTGCCTTTCCTTTCAGCTCCTTAACGGCTGCATATTATCTGAAGACACGTTTTTAAACCTCTCCCTCTCCTCTACAGCGTTGGCTTCATCACCAGCATCTTGACCCCAGGGGAATTGAGATTTCATCGTCCTTTTGCCAAATAAATAATCTTTATGTCATTTATTGTGTTCTTTTCATATCAAAACATAATAATGCAGGTATCGTAAAACATATGTTATAAGTATTGAATGGAATTTTGAGCGAGATGTGCACTTGTGTGGCACAGTCCCCAGTGTTTGACTTCTCTAATAGCGGTGACGTATACGCTCTCTAAATTTAGCGTCCTGCAGACCGTCACATGAAAAGATTAGATGGAATGGAAATTATTGATGTAACTTTTAAATTATTAACAAGCACATATCTTTAGAAGGCAACCATCGACTGGGGCACACGCTGAAATCAAATCTTTATGATTTACAATTGTGTTGAACTAGTAATGAAAGAAAATGATTGTGTGTGTGTGCGCGTGTGTATGTTTAAATACAGGTATGTAAATGTATGTAAATTTGTGCATCTGTGATATTTGATAGAAATCGTTCAAAATTACGTCATGGTCTCAATTCAAACATCGAAATCAAAGAGGATCGACGATTACTGTAGCGCTTATTGCTGCACGTGCCCAGAATTGTTGTGGTTAACATGGACTATTACTTTAGAAATTATTTATTATGCCTTATTCTATTCTCTACTTGACCTGTCAAAACTATTTCTTAGTCTGTTATTTACATGGCAAAACATAAATAAAACATGATTTAGATTCCATTTAAACTGGCAGACTGGCGCTACCGGGTTTTTTCGGTAAACGAGAGCACATTGAAGTTAGTTTACGTGCTCTTGTGAGTAGTTGTAACCGTGAAATCAAAGACTGAGGAGGCAGCCGGTAAGACCCCTTGTTAACGGACTTTATGTGGCACGATCGGTCGCGTGCGCCTTGTATATGTGCTCTATTTGGTCACAGGTGATGCGTCCGGTTTCCCAGCTTCGCATTGGTTTAGAGCATTAAGTGGCGTTCACACCAGATTCTTGTGTGTATTTATATGGATTCTTCCAGTTAGAATTAACAGTTACGCAATAGACAAATCAAAGCCTTCTGACGTCTTGCTTCATTATTCCTCTGTCATCTCTCACCAGGACCGAGCTGGCAGTTTAATGGCTGCCCCGTGACTCTGACCCCATGTGGAACGTAAGAACACCTTAAGGCTCTCTTCACACACCACTCATCGGCACATTCCCTCTGCCATTTAAAGAAATATTCATAATTGAATGAGGACCAACAATATAAAAATGGCAGAAGAGAGAGATGATTTTGGTACATATCCTCTTAATTCTGGCTGTTTTAAACTCCACTATAGTAAATAAAGGAACTACATAGACTGTTTTAGCTCTTTGTGGTTCGATTTGTGGTCTGTCCTCTGAGGGAATTAAGCTATGTAATATAACGCACTAAAAGTTGAATCTTTGTCAGTGCCAGAAAGGAGGTGATGTGAGAGTGAGTGGTCAAAGCATTAAACAACCTTGCCTGATAATCATTTGAAGGGTCAATTTTATTAATAAGGGCCAAAGTGTGATTTGTAGCCATTTCTCCTTCTATCTATTTTACACTTCACTTTCAGAAAACAAAGGCATTCCAAACCCTGTATTAGTTATTAATAATCCTTCTATACAACGATGTGGTTCAATTTATGGTCCGTCTTCTAAGGGAATATAGCTATAAAAGGCAATAAAAGTTCGAATGAGAAAAAAAAAGCAGAGCAAACACAACGAGAAAAAGCATTTATCTAAATTAAATTTGTTCTCAGTACTTTTCCAGCTTCCCTTACGTTTGTTACTAAGGTCTTTCTCAAGGGTATAGAAACATGTATATATGTATATCTTACTCCAGTTGAAATAACTGAATAAAAGGGCAGCCGTTGTGGTGCAAATAGCGGAGAGAGAGATGCGTCCCAGGCTTCATGGTGTCTGCTCTGACTGACAGCTCCCTCCCACTTCCCCCCAGAGCCCTTCTTGCTTTTGACATACTGTCATTCTCACTTGGTTCACCACTTCACTCTGATAAACTGTAGCAAATCTTTGTCCCCTTTCCAGCAGACTAGATCGGCTACTTCGGCTATCCTGAACCATATCTCGGTTGGCTAGGCTCACTGTGCGTTTGGCAGGCTCTGTTCTAGTGGGTGCGCTGCAAAAAAATGATACATTTGGCCAAATTTTATCAGTTTTTGACTTATGTTTCATCACTTTTTGCAGAGATCCTTGAGAAAGACGTAAGTAGCCAACGTTTCCCTTCCAAACGTAAGGGAAGCAGGAAATGTGAGAACAAGCATTAATATAGCTTTTTCTCATTGTGTTTACTCAGCTTTCCCCCCCCAATTAAGCTTTTATTGCGTTTTATAGCTGCATTCATTTTGCCAAATTTGAGCAATTTTTGACTGATTTTTTAATCACCTTTTGCAGTGTACATTGCTCGACAGCTATCCTGAAGCATGTCCTCTGCTGGCAAGGCTCAGTGTGCGTCTGGCAGGATCAGTTCTAGTGGGTGAGAACCACGCATCGCTCCCGAAAAAATCAAAAAAAAAAGTCCCCTATCCCCTGCGGTGACTCACTGGAGCGTTATCTTCTACTCGCTGGAAAATGGAGCGTCCCTCTGAGCTGTACAAACACTGACACTGAGCTTATGGAGGAGGGCTTTTAATTTAGTGTCTTGCAGGGAGTTAAAAAGCTTCTCCTGGTGGAAGCAAGGTTTTACAAGCGGGGGCACTTGCTGTTGTTTGCTGTATGAACTGAACGGGAGTCTGCATCCTCCGTGACCGCAGCGTTCTGACCCAGGGCAGCTGCGGCCCCTCTGGACAGAGGTTCCCACCTCCAGCGGCTGTGAGCCGCTAACAACAATACGGAAAATGGCGCCGCGGTAACGTGATCCAAGACCATACACGCACAGAACTATTCTCTGCATGTTGTGTGCGTGTCTTTGCGTAACCTGTGTGTAAGCTGTGCACGCAAATACACCGCTGAAGTTGAACTATGGAGCCTCAGGAAGTGTCCGTGTCTCCTCCTGAAATGCAACTACACTCACTAAATTAAAGCTGGGGTACGAACATTTTCCTGTTAATTAATAGCTCATGTTGGTTGTGCCCAAAAGTAAAAGGTTGTGAGCAAATCAAAGATTACATTTGGTATGAATGACATGTGTCATTACATTTGATAATCTCATTTAACTTAAATTGGAGTGGATTTGAAATAGAATGTTAAAAATGCAATTAATCATGAGTTAACACACCATTACTATGAAATGAATAAACTAAAAATGTTGTATCAATTTAAAAGCCCTAAAAAATAAATAGAGCCATTGTCCCATTAGGGGCAGATGACCAATGTCCATAAATGTTGATAAAGTCCAGAAATATTATAGAACATCAAGTGGATCATCACCACTGTCCATAAACCCTCCTGCATCGGCAAGGAACAACTAATAAAAAATACTATGGGAATATGGTATATGTGCTGGGAGCTCACCATTCATGTGAGAGGTCGTCTACTCAGACAATATTGAAGTCTTGTTCTGTAATAAGGTCCTGTGTCCTGAACATTTTTGCACTTACATAAATGTGACGAGTTCAGTACAATTTTCATTGATGTTTGTGCCTTTGAATAACATGAGGGGCATATCAAATCAATACTTGCTGTATTGCAATTTATCAAGAATCAAAATAATATTCAAGTGTGGCCCAAATTTTGTAATACTATTGAATAGTCACATTTTTGACAATTCCGACTCCTATAAAAGATGCAATGAACCTGCCAGTGTAAGCCTGGTTCATTCAAACGGGAACATATCTAACCATATTCCACAGTGTCTTATCTTAAATGTAGTCTATTCTCCCACTGGAAATCTTAAGAACAGACCGTATAGAACCACATATGGGCCTCCATTGAATTGGATAGGAGAGATTATCGACAAAGCTCTGTGGGCAAAGGCCCGGCCACTAAACAGATAAGGAGCAAGTTAGAAACATACTGGTGGTAATATCTGGGAGAAACAAATGCTAAATATTCTCATCTTAATTGACCACATAATGATACGATATAGATCAGAGCTCTCAAACTCCATTAATCTGGGGACGGCATGAGGTGGAGTCTGTCTGTGTGTGTGTGTGTGTGTCTGTGTGTGTGTGTGTGTTTAACATGCTTCACAAACATATTTATCAAAAATAATGACTTTGTATCTTTTTTTAAACTTGAATATAGTCACACAAAAGCTTTTTAATGTGGTGCGGACCTTTGTAAATTGGAAAAAAAAAACGTATTGAATATAATTTTGCAAAAAGCAACAAGGCATAGTAATGTAGATTATTTAATTGCTTATTGCATTTTGGGTTCAAAATTACGGTTCGAAATGATGTATAACAAGCTATATTTTCACAGACTATCAGTGGGGGCCGCACTGACATTTAAGTTTGATGTCCACTAGAGGGCCAGAAAATACCTTTTGTTTGAGACCACTGATGTAGATATAAATGTGAGATATAGAAATAGTTCAGCTAAATGAAACTATAAACAAAAATCAAGCAACAAAATAAACATAAATAAACCAAATTTTGATTATAGTTGGATCCAAACAATTGATCTGCAAAAGTGTTTTAAAAATATACAATAAATGTCTCCCTTGGAATGAGAAAATAAAGCAGAAAACAGTTCTTGGAATAAGACTAAACAGCTTTTTCCCATCGGCAAATCTTGTTTTAAGACAGTCAGAATGTACTCAAATTAAGACTATAATTACCTCATATTTGATCATTTTTGGCATTGTAGAATTCTCGAGACTATGCTGACCATTCATACATCCACTGGCTCACTCACTACAATGTCAAATAGGCAAATATATTCCATTTAAATAAGTGCATCTATGCAGCTTGAGTAAGAGCGATATCATACAATGAATAGTTTAGATGTTTGTCAGATGCTGAATATGTTTTTGAAGTAGTGTCCTTGATGCGCCGCACAATACAGAAACACGGCGATCGTGTTTAAACCCAGTGAACCCAGACACCGGGGAAGACAGCCTTGTATAACGGCTTTCTTACAGGATGCACAATAAGTTAACGATGCCAGCAGCAGGATAAACTGCAGATTTAGATTATCTACACTCAGCCGTTTTCAGTGAAAGAACAGAAGTGGAAAAAAGCCAACGTTAGAGAGTGATAATCCAGCTACTCACAATGACCTAATCTGATTACACCGCTGCACTGCACTGACGTGGCCACAAAATCCAGGAAGGAATAAACGCTGATGAGAGAGACAAGATGGGATTTTTATGGAAAATCTAATTCAATTCAATTCAGTTCAATCTAATCTTGTATAGCCCTAAATCACAACAGTAGTTACTGTATCTCTGGGGACTTTACAAAACCGTTGAATTTTCCAACACAGATCAGAGAATCAAACAGTTCAAGAAAACACAAAAAATACAATGATTAAAAAAACCACATTGAACCATTGATCCATAAAAGGCAGGCGACCAATGTCCATGAGGGACTGTAGATTGAGGACCAAGGCCACAAGGTGCAGCCCAGATAGATAGATAGATACAAACAAAACAAAACAAATAAATACATAGCTCTAAAAGTAGCCAACAATAGAAAAAAAAATGCTACAGCACTTCAGGTCACGGCAGCAGAGGTGGTTCGGACCATAGGTAAATTGCTGAATACTTTATTAGCCTTTTTTTTTTTTTAGAACTAGCATTCCTCCAGTGGATTTACCCTCGATCTGTTTGGGTCAGACCTCAGCATATATGGTTCAAATGTATTGTAATGTGGTTGTAATTGCGCTATACAAATATAGCTGACACTGATTTCTCTATAATTCCCAGATTCTCATCACACCTTTGTCCTTATAAAGCAGTAGAAATATAAAAAATGTACATAAACAATCGCTAACCACTCAATTGATTTGCAGCTGAATGTTATTACTTTCTTACAGATTTTAAAGCCAAAAACTCAAATTTCACTTCATAGTCTGAGAGCAAGAGGAGGTCTTTGTTACCAAATATAAGAATAACTTTCCTTGGTATTGTTTGAAAGCCCGGTCCAGGGACATTGGAAAAATATGATAGCGGTCTGAATTATGGGAGCTTGTATTTGCTACAGCACTTCTGAGATGTTCCTAAAATTCAATTTCTCCTTCAAGAGAAAAATAATTAGTTTTCAGGGAGCAAACCTCAGAACGTCTACATCCAAATCAGAACATGCAATGGAGAATAAGCGATCATTTTCACTGTGTTGTCATGGCCATTTTATTTAGACTTTTTACTATAAATTAATACAATTGTTACTCTCTGGCTTTTAACGTGTGAGTTGTGTAGTATTCTTTTATTTATGTATAAATAAATTGTATTATATTGTTTTTATTCTATTCTAATTGCTTTTATTTCATACATGTTTTATTTGTTTACATACTTAAACCTGGAAATCCTGTATATTGGCCCCTTCGACTACCCCCAACCATCACACACACACCAGACTCATTTTCTAAAGTGTCTTGCTTAAGAACACAACAGCAGTTTGGCACTTTACAGCCGCAGCCGCCCCACCGTGGCACCTGGTGTTCCAAGAGGTCTCCCATCACAGTAATGACCAGGCTTAACTTTGGAGGTTTCACATGCAGGTACAGTATGGCCACGATACACATACTGTATACAAGGATTTCAAACACTAAATCATTTCATACCTCAAGTCATTACTGCTCAATGAATAATCTGAAATTTTACCTTTTTATTGCTTTCTCTGCGTTTGTTAAGTTTATCTGATTGAATAGCAGTTCCATACACCCAGCTCTCATTAAGCCTTTTTGGTTCGACACAATAAAGAGGGCTATTTTTAATGCCGACTTTATTGCGGTGAAACTCGACACGTTTTGCTTATGAGGCACTAAGACTGGGCTTTATTTATGGGCCCAGTGCAGATGTGAGCAGAAAGCTCTGAGCTGCAACTTCTGTTTCCATCGTGACAAAAAAAGATTAGGCTGCAGTCTGAACAGTGATTGTTTTTGGCTTTTTGCACCGGGCGTCAAAACTTATTTAACATTTTACCCAGTGAAAAGTTTATGATATTATGGGTAAATTAATCCAATAAATGTTTAAATTGTAAATATCACATACAAAAGGTATTCATCAAGTAGATAGCAAGCTCATAGCTAGATACTAAATAAGCTAGCATAATTTAATTTACTACAAGATAGACCTAGCTACCTCGTGTGGCTGTTTGTCTACCACATAAAAAGTTATACAAAAAAAGTCTATATCTATAAATCAATTTGAGCACATTTTGACTGCCCTACAACAAGATTTGCCAATGGGAAAAAGCAAAATTATCTTGTTTTAAAAAGATACAAAAAAGGTCTCCCTTGGAATTAGAAAATAAAACAGTTCTTGAAATAACACTAAATGGCTCAGTCCCATTCGCAACTCATACTTTAATACAGTCATAATGTACTCAAATTAAGATGAAAAACCCCACTAGATTCAAGCAATTATGACCTCATATTTTATCATTCTTTGCAGTGCACATAATATGTTTTGAGGATCATTCCACAGCGAGGCTTCTTTGTGGTAAACAATACAGAGAACAAGAAGCGCAACAGGTTTTGTGAAGACAACCTCTTTTCAACTGGACCAGCTCTATACTCTCCATCGGATACTCAAGTGTTCATGGGAGTTCGCCCAACCTGTGTACATGTGCTTTGTGGATTTGGGGAAGGCGTTCGACCGTGTTCCCTGTGGTGTCCTTTGGGGGGTCCTCTGCTGAGAGCCGTCCGATCCCTGTATGACTGGAGCCAGAGCTGTGTTCGCATTGCCGGCAGTAAGTCAGACCTGTTCCCGGTGCATGTTGGCCTCCGCCAGGGCTGCCCTTTGTCACTGGTTCTGTTCACTGTGTTTATGGACAGAATTTCTAGGCTCAGCCAGGGGTCGGAGGGGGTCCGGTTTGGGGACCACAGGATTTCATCCCTGCTGTTTGCAGACGATGTTGTCCTGTTGGCTCCAACGAACCAGGACCTGCAACATGCACTGGGGCGGTTTGCAGCCGAGTGTGAAGCGGCTGGGGTCGAAATGAGCTTCCTCCGCAGAGTGGCTGGGCGCTCCCTTAGAGATAGGGTGAGGAGCTCAGTCACACAGGAGGTGCTCAGAGTAGAGCCGCTGCTTCTCCATGTCGAGAGGAACCAGTTGAGGTGGCTCGGGCATCTGTTCCGGATGCCTCCTGGAGGCCTCCCTAGGGAGGTGTTCCGGGCACGTCCCACCGGGAGGAGACCCCGGGGAAGACCCAGGACACGCTGGAGGGACTATGTCTCTCAGCTGGCCTGGGAACGCCCGGACGAGCTGGAGGAAGTGTGTGTGGATAGGGAAGTCTGGGCGTCTCTGCTTAGACTGCTGCCCCCGCGACCCGGCAACGGATGCAATGGACTGCAACACATGTTCTGTGGTTCAAAAGTGGTTTGAAAGTTTCCTTCCCCAGTTTTAAACTTTAGACGAATAGGCCTACAACTAAACTTTCATATTATATGTTATATTCATTCTGAAATAAAAACAGATGTAAATAATTATCTAGAATAGAAAGTGCTCTTACCTGATACGTGTTGTCGAAGCTGTCGTACATGAAGCGTGTGATGAGGGACGTCTTTCCAACTGTAACAGACCAGAGAAAATATTCAGTTTATTTTCTATTTGCATTAAAACCCCATTGGAATAAATGTGCTAAAGTCCCCAGTGTGCACCAGACAAGTATAGGAGAAAACAAGCTAAAAGTACAAGAAACAATTGTCACTGTGAAACCAATCAATACTCCCACTCATTCATTGATTCTTTTTTCTTTTGTAAACAGAAGATTTGGTTTTGTTCAGACATATTGACTCAAATGGAACAACCTGACCTGATCTTATAAAGAGCGATGTACAGACTCTGAGAATATAAAACATACTTACAATGATACACTTTAACAGATTACTGTTGTAGGGCACTAAAGCTAGGGAATGTAACTTTTAGACTTCATTCACTGATATAGGAAAGCTTTAAATTATCATATTTTGTTCAATGCACGAGTCGATCAAACCCACATACAAACTCCAGAGAATCCAGCCTGACAAATCCATTTCCAACCACCTCCTACATCACATCCGCTCTAATGTTAAACTGTCATTTTTAGGCCTAATTAAATGCGCACGAGGAGAAGCTCTGAGACGTCTTGACGAACGACTTGCATGGATTGAGATTGTACTTTGCCACTGGTTTATTAATGGTTGTGACTGAGAGAAAGGCAGAGCAAAGAAAATGCAATGACCATCAATCAAAGACTCATTTTATATCCATTAGGCAGCCAGCGGTGCAGCCACAAAACCAGTTTAAAAAAGACCAAAAGCAGTGACACACGATGAGGAAGTGCTCTTGAATAATCTGTGTCTAAATGTTTTAAATCAAAGGCAGCTACATGGAAAGACATAGTTCAGACTTAATGCAGACCAGGGACCATAGACTGTATACTGTATTAGGAGTGGACTAACCCAGAAGATGCCGATTTCAACATGAAATAGCTGGAGCCGATTGAGATTAGGAGAACCTTTATTCATCCCACAGCGGGGAAATTTCAGTGTTGCATCACCAGTTACAGAACAGTTGGAATGAGGAGCACACAATAAATAATAAAATATACTAAAATAAAATAAATTCTGTAATTGTTTCTATCTTGTGTAGTCAAGCACTTTGAGTTGCCTTGTCTATAATAATAAGAAGCAAGAAATTTTCTTTTAAAACTCCTTTCAAAACACTCAGAGTGCTATGAGTGGGCGGCAGTAGCTCAGTTGGTAGAGCGTTGGCTTTTGAGCCAGAAGGTCGTGGGTTCAAGCCCCGCTCAAGACCTTCACCATCGACTCCCACTGACTGCTGTCGTTGTGTCCTTGGCAAGACACTTAACCTCTGGGAACACCAGCCACAGTGGGGCGGCTGCGGCTGTAAAGTGCCAAACTGCCGTTGTGTCCTTAGTCAAGACACTTCACCCCCATTGCCTAGAATTAGTCTGGTGTGTGTGTGAATGGTTGGTGGTGGTCGGAGGGGCCGATGGCACATACTGGTTGCCTCGCTTCTGTCAGTGTGCCCCAGGGCAGCTGTGGCTACATTAGTAGTTTATCACCACCGTGTATGGAGTGAATGAATAATGACACATGTGAAGCGTCTTTGAGTGTCCAAAAAAGCGCTATATAAAACCGATGCATTATTATTATTATTATTATTACTATGAACCGTGCTATACAAATAAACCTGCCTTGCCTGAATAATAAAACATGAATGTATGTCATTGGCACATAAGTTACATAGAGCCCCTTTCATTTGTAAGAGATGGCTTTGTTTTGAAAATTAGAGTCCAGATTAGGAGAGCAAGGTGGAGAGAGATGCATTTATAAGAATCATTCTCGTTTATTTCCATTTGTTCAACAACAGTGCTCCAGCTTCATCATTAGTGTCAGCGGATAATTATGTGTCTTCTTCACTTCAGAACAATAACATGTTCTGAGGGGCTGTTGTTATTGCTCTAATTAAAAGATATATTGCACATTCATTCATCACAGCACAGCAGCAGAATCAGATGCAAAAGTGTTGCCTTGTAGGTATCTGTGTATATATATATATGTATGTGTGTATGCTCTTACACTGAAGGGTCAAACCGGAAGTGTATGTCTGTACCCAATAAATGACGCGGTGCGCTCCATGCGTGAGATTGAGCCGGTCAAAGAGACTGATGAGTTGTGTGTTTTCCTCCGTCAGTAGATTCTTGTTACCACGGTTATCCCGCCCTCATAATGCTGCGATCAACAGGTTATGGGCCCAGAAGGGATGGAGGAGGCCGATGGAACCGATTGTGCTTCGACGGGGACGAAAGAAATTATGAACTGTGGGAAACTAAATTCTTGGGACACCTGCGGCTGCTCGGGCTGAAGGAGGCCATTTTAAACGAGCCAGGTGAGCACGAGGAAGATGAAGATTCTCACGAAGCTAAGAACGAAGAAGCTTATGCTGAGCTTATTCAAGTCTTGGACGATAGAAGCCTCTCACTTGTGATGAGAGAAGCTACAGACAATGGAAGAGAAGCGCTTAAGATACTAAGAGAGCACTACTCTGGTAAAGGCAAGACTCGTGTTATTAGCCTGTACACGGAGCTAACATCGCTTCAGAAGACTGAGAGCGAGAGCGTGACAGACTATATCATACGAGCAGAGAATGCCATCACAGCTTTAAGAAATGCTGAAGAGACTTTGAGCGATGGGTTGCTTGTGGCAATGGTACTAAAAGGATTGCCTGAAAGTTTCAAGCCATTTTCCATCCACATTACCCAGAGCGAAAAAGAAATCAAATTCAGCGAGTTCAAAGCAAAGCTAAGGAGCTACGAGATCACAGAAAAGCCTGTAAACTCAGAAGACAACGTAATGAAGATGAGTAACTGGCAGAGAAATAAAAACAGAGACAATGTAGAGATCAAATGTTACAACTGTGGAAAGAAAGGTCATATTGCACGTGAATGCTATGCGAAGAGTGACAGACCTGAGTCTAAGGAGAAGCAGTGGTGTAGTTACTGCAACAGTTCCACACATAAAGACAATAATTGTAGACTACAAAAAAAGACGAATGTTAAACATGTTGCAGATTCTGAAGATCATAGTTTTGCATTCAAAGTAAATGACTGGAATGTTCCGGGGCTGAAACAGAGAGGCTTGATGGTCGATACAGGAGCCACGTCTCACATTGTAACGAACATTAAAAGTTTCAAAAGGTTTGACGATGCTTTCACACCGGAAAGTCACTTCATGGAGCTGGCGGACGGGACGAGAGCGAGTGGTGTCGCGCTAAAGAGAGGAGCGGCAGAAGTCTACCTGCAGGACAGCGAGGGACACCGTGTAAAGGCAACGCTGGAAGGAGCACTTTACATCCCCTCATATCCACAGGACATCTTCTCAGTCCAGGCAGCGACGACCAGCGGAGCAGCAGTCACATTCAAGAAAGGATGCAACCAACTTGTTCACAAGAATGGTACAAGGTTCGACATCAATGAATATGGACGCTTGTACTACCTGAGTACAGTTGAGGTAAACAATGACTATGATGAATGCAATGGATGTCATGATATTGAAACTTGGCACAGAATTCTTGGACACTGTAATTATGAAGATTTGTCTAAACTAGAAAATGTTACTATGGGTATGAAGATCAAAGGGAAAGCTAAGCAAGATTGTAAAGTGTGTGTTAAAGGAAAGTTTATACAAACCAGAAGTAGAGAGCCTGACGAGAGAGCAAAAGCGGCGTTAGAGCTAGTGCACACTGACTTAGCGGGACCGATTGACCCAGAGGCAAAAGACGGGTTCAGATACTCTATAGCTTTTACTGACGACTATTCAGGTACAACTTTTGTTTATTTCTTGAAAGCTAAAAGTGACACTGTAGAAGCGATTGAGAAATTTCTAGCAGATGTCGCCCCCTATGGGAAAGTGAAAAGAATCAGATCAGACAACGGCACAGAGTTCACTTCCAGAGAGTTTCAATCATTACTTAGAAAGAACGCAATAAGACATGAAACCTCTGCACCGTACTCACCCCATCAGAATGGGACGGCCGAGAGAAATTGGAGAACACTATTTGAGATGGCACGTTGTATGTTGCTTGAGAGTAATTTACCTAAAAGACTATGGACTTATGCTGTTATGACTGCTGCAGTGATTCGCAACAGGTGTTACAACAGACGCACAGGACAGACCCCTTACTATTTGTTGACAGGGAGAAAGCCTGACATGTCTAAAATGCACGTTTTCGGATCAGTTTGTTTCAGTTATCGACAAAACAGAAAAAAACTAGACGCAAAATGTGATGAGGGAGTTTTTGTGGGATACGATAAAAACAGTCCGTCATATCTTGTCTATTATCCAGAAACGGGTCGAGTTCTCAAACACAGATTGGTTAAGTTCCTCACTACAAGTGGAGATGAGTGCCAGAACGAAAAGACTCTGGACGAAGATGATTTTCAACCAGTTGGAATATACTGTAAAAGGTTGGACAAGACAATCAATAAAAGTATGGAAGAGACAAAAGAGCCGGACACTGAAACACAGGACAATGTGACAAGTGACAGTGAACAAAGACCGGAGAAACACAGTGAAAACACTGAAGGACGATATCCGAGACGAGATAGAAAGACTCCACAATATTTGAAAGACTATGTTTATGCTGATGATGACCAAACTTTGATGAACATTGACTATTGTTACAGGTTGATGTACGGCGTACCAAAGACATTTGATGAGGCTATGCACTCTCCGGAGTCCGGGTGTTGGTCTAATGCCATGGAGGACGAAATGAGATCGCTAAAAGAAAATGACACTTTTACCCTGACCACATTGCCAGAAGGTAAAAACGCAGTGGGGGGAAGATGGGTGTATACAAAAAAGGAGAGCCCAGGCCAATCTGAGACATTTAAAGCCAGATATGTTGCTAAAGGCTACAGCCAAGTAGCTGGGATTGACTTCAAGGAAACATTTTCGCCGACTGCAGACATGACGTCAGTTCGTTGTTTAATGCAGATGGCAGCACAGTACGACTTAAAACTTCACCAAATGGATG